CTGCGACTGCACATTGCTGGCTCATGCTGAGCTTCTGGTCAATCAGCACACCCAGAGGGCCTTCTCCTCAGGGCTGCTCTCCAGCCATACCCTGCCGAGCCTGTATTTGTGCTTGGATTGCCCCGACCCAGATGCAGGACCTTGCACTTGGCCTTGTTGAACTTCATGATGTTGGCTTGGGCCCACCTCTCCAGCCTGTCCAGGTCCCTCTGGATGGCATCCCTCCCCTCCAGCGCGTCTGCCTCACCAAACAGCTTGGTATCATCGGCAAACTTGCTGAGGGTGCACTCAACGAATCCCAGGAAAAAAAACCCTGCTTCTTCCTCTTGTCTTTGCTACTCTTATAAGCTTCTTGTGGCTGTGCCAACACCCCTGTTTCTGATTCTGCCACAACCTTTGATACCAATGGGACAACGTATAGACCCAGGCTGGGGAGAGGAGAAGAAAAAATCATAAACCACTTTTGCCCTTACGTACCTACCTACACACACCACCCCACACCCATCCATTCTCCATAGTGGTAGAAGACTTTTCAATGGAAATATGATGACACCTCAAGGGAATCACATTTTCCATAGAACTACAGAACAGAAAAGACAGGAAATATTTGAGTTTGGAGGGCATAGCTTATGCAAAATCCTCGCTGGCAAATGCAGAACTAAAGGTGGGAGATAGTGGGAGAAAATAACAGGAAAAGTATGTTACCACCAACAGTTAAATGTTCTTGACTATAACAGTCTAGTGGACTCAGCAGTGAGGGATGCCATTTTAACAAACTGTGACTGAACCAGAAACAACACAAATAAGTATCTCTCAGAGTTCAGAAAACCGTAACACCACAGTTTTCACAGTGATTTCTAAAGCCCTTTTGATAAGTAGCAAAATAATCATTCAAACACATTTGTTTCTCTACACAGTTGTTCTCACCATAGACATACTTCTTGGCTAGTCTCAGCCATGATCTAGGCATTTTCTGTAACTTTTGCAGAAGGAACAAAGGGGCCAGAGCACACCAGAGGATCTGTTCTGGCTATTACTGGCACAGACAGACTCCAGAGGGGAAGAGGATATCAGTCCTGAAAAAAGAAGGAATCAGCTGCATCCAACTCCTATTTAACCAACTCCTTCCCACAAAACCAACCCAGATAAAATTCAAGTGGTGTGCGAAAAGCTTTCCAGGGTTTTTCAAAATATCAGCACACCCCAGATCTTCTACCACGTTCTATGAGCTAAGGTAAAATAAATAAACCTGAAGTGGTACCATAAGAATTCCTTGCCAAGACACATTAACTTCACATGACCATAAAACCCTCAGAAAATGCAAGGAAGAAGGATGTTATTGCTGTAGTAGAAGATCCCTGAATAAATACAAACACATATTCCTGTGTTCTTATAGTAACGTCTTGGTTTCTGCAGCTTCCTTTTGTTATCATAGATTTTGACAGTGGTGATGGTTGGTCATAGTCAGATACTTTTTGTTCCTGCAGTTGCCAGAAGAAGTACAAAGGAAGGAGTTTGGCTGCAGAATGTGTCTAGCCATCCCAGACAGGGCAAGGCCAGCTTCTGGATATGAAGCACGTAGTCAGATGGTCGTTTGTGTTCTCAGCCATTTCTTGTTTACCTTTCAGTTTCTTTGTGTCACAGGCAGCTTTGAATCCTTTGTCACTGTGCATGTAGCAAGCTGCAACACGGAAGTATTAAATATTCCCACACAGTAAATGGAAACCTAATGTTGATCTCCTTTCAGAAGGGAAAACTGTTAAACTCTCCTTTTTTGTACCTTTGTATTACCCTCTGGTATGTAACCTCTCCCCAGTAACTGGTGCTGAGAATGGTCATAACACCACAAAGAGCGGCTGGAAAGGTTGTTAAACATATCATATGGTACAGCTCAGCTCGTTGCACCAGACGCTTACAGCTGCTTAGCAAATTTCATTAAATAACTTTCATTGAAAAAATAATCCGTGATCATTTAGTTGAATCTGTAGTTTCTCTTACAGAGACTCATCCATTTATCTCTGAGAAACTTTTCGTTCATTGTTTAACTCATCATTGAGGTTTCTTCGCTATTTTTGGATTTTCGTGATAAGCTCTTCCCACAAAGCCACAGCTACTCTTTCTTCCTTCTAGGTACCAACTTATCTCACATTGGCCTCCATTTCTGACTTTCACCAACAAAAGTTCTCTTCAGTTTTTGAAAATTTGCAGCTCAGCTCTAGGTTGCTATCAGCTACAACCAAAAATCCCTCATGGGGTTTTACTAAGCAGAACGTGGACACAAAGCAGAGTGTGTGACTGTTTTTTTTCTATCCTCACAAGGAGAATGAGAGAGTATGGACACACATGAAGGCCCTCTGGGGAGTGGGTTCAAAGACCACATAGGTGTTCTGGTAACAGCAGGGCCGGCTTTACGCACAACAGGACACATGCTTTCAGGACAGGTGCCAATGCAAGAAGGACCTGTCTCCTCCTGGACGCAGTCTCATTACTCAGAAACATGATGAGCTGTCAGAAATGCACTATTCAGAAGTGTTGTAAAGCAAATAATACAGACTGCACTGAGGTATGCATTCTTGTTTCGCATCAGATAACAAGGGTGTTCTTAACTAGTTATTGTAAATCACGAGGTTTTGCAGCTAGCTTTTACCCCACAATTTGAATTCATCTCACGGTATTTGTGTACATCCTTATCAACTAGCTGGAGGGGGAAATCCTTGGGGGATAAGCCACAGAGCCAGAATTGCATCCTTTTTGATAATTTTCATTTGGAACTGAATTGCTATTTGACATTAATCCTTTTTTTTTCTACCTCATTCTCAAATTGAAGTAGCTTAACTAATCTCCTTGCAAATTATTTCATTTCTTTTTTCAGTGACCATTGCAGGGGAGGGCCCCACATGCCAACACTCTCCATCCCCTCCCCATACTATGCAGACTCATAAAGGAATGAAAAATGTGTGGACAGTGTATGCCTTACTTGCTCAACAACGCATTATGATGCAGACAGAAACTAGTGAGGTTATACAGTTTCCATAGTGACTGTCTCACTGAAATGATCTATTTCTGGAATTCCATCAGAGATCACCAGTGTGGTTAAGATGGAAGTGTTCTGTGATTGCGGTTGGCCATCAGCTAAGCAATAAGCAATGGAAGAATTCATTTCCCCAGGAATATTTTTGGGAAAATTAAACCACCTTGAAAATGGCAGGAATATACTCAAAACATGCCTTGATTTACATTTTAATTTCATTTTTATTGGTTAGTATTATCAAACCTATCAAACTATGCCTTAAATGATTATAGAATTAGCATGACACATTCATGACTATCCATAAAAGTACTTGTCACCCTTACAGTTACAGTGGAAAGCATTAACTTATGCATTATTACAGGACTGCTGGCAATACCACAGTAACATATTGTAAGCAAAAGTTTAGTTTTCTGAAGAGCAAACAGAGAATCTTGCCTACACTCCAACAGTCCACCTGAATGTACCTGATTTTGTTTCCCAAAGACATTACTTAATCAAATTTAACCCAGAAGGTGAAATTACAGAAGACAATGCATTTACTACTTCTTTGTGACCTTTTCATTAGGGACCCCACTTCTGCCAGCCTCAGCTTTTTTACTACTTGCAAAGCCAGAGTTTATGGGAATTAGATTCCACAGTAACTCTCTGAAAGCATCCACTCTTTTCCACCACATAGAAATACTACATATTTTCACTCTTGGTTTTAATTCTTACTGATCTTCATTGCTACAGAAGTCTCTAGCAGAGCAGCCTAGAAGATGGATAATGAAACTGAGTGCAAAACACTCTGAATTAATTTTCACTTTTGCCAAAATCTGTGCTTCACTCAACTTCCTCTTTTTTTTTGTGTGTGTGTGAAATCAGAAAAACAAAAAATGACAAACTAAAGGGGTGCTAACTGTTGATATTTGTAAAACAATTGTGAGACTGGTGATATAACTAATGTGCCTTACACTATGATTTTTCAATCCGTGCCAAGCTCGCTTACAGAGAAATACCCTAAGTTCCCAACAAGTCCAATGCTCGCTCTTTTCCCCTTCAGCTTTTGGATGCACCTTTGTTTTGCATTTTACTGAGACAACACTGCTCTTTCAGCGATAAAGTACTCACTTCAATTCTTTACAAGGTTTTGGAATAATGGGTAAAGCTGATGCACAAGAACATCGTTGCTTCCTTATGTGTTACCCCTCTAGGCAGCACGCTGAGTATCTCCCCGTTTCAGCATATTCTATGCCAGAAACGCCTCTTATGCTTCAACTTCTTTTAATGCAGGAAGAAGCAGCTCTGCTCAAAAGGCAAGACACATTGTCTCGCTATGGCAGGAGAGTTATTAACAGTAACAATGACCAAATTCTGGAACTATGCCACCTTTTTAATTTAGCAGTACATTTTGGTAGGAGGATGGTTATGCAGATACCCGTTTGCTTAAACAAAATCCAGTCTTAATGGATTTTCTGATTCAGGATTCTGGTTGTTTCCTCTTGATTACAATGAAGCTCAATGAAACAAATAGCGAATATGTACTGGAAGTAAATGCATTGCTTTTATTTTTAAAATCAGATTGACCTAACCCCACATTCACCACTTCCTGCATAAGCTATTTTGCTTAGGGTGTCAGTTCTGTGACATACTTTCTTAACATTTTGATTCAGTCCTAACTAATAAAGGACAGCTGTATTGAAACAAAGAAAGCTAATAAAAATATGTCCGTGTCAGGATTTTATACCAAAGCTATGATCTTAACAAATAGGTAAAATTTGAGAAAAGCTGTAAAGGTACTTACCAATTAGATACTAGGTTATATATTTAATGTGCAATAAACCAAATGTTTGTTATAAATGATGTGCCACTGGAAAAACTCTTCAGTGAAGAACATAAGGGAAGGACGGGGAAAGGAAGTTGAGGAAAATCCCTGAACTCCCACATTGTATGGCTCTGCAGACAAAAATCTCTTCTCTCATTAGCTCACCTTTGGCCAGCAATCTCTGTCCTGTTGCATCCGGCACAGCTAGACAATGTGTATCCAGACCTAAAAAAGAGTTCTGGGATCCACCACTGGGTTTGGAAAGCTGGACTTCCTGGCTTTCTGCCGCTTCTCCACAGTCTACTTCTGGCAGCTCATCAGAGTGAATCTGTACACAGAAAGTTAAAGGCTGATCACCCTCTTCGGTGGCAGAGCTGTTAACTAGGTCAAGCCAGGACTGCCTCTCGGAATAAACCACTTTGGACGTCAAGGAAGAAGAGGACTCTTGGGAGTTGAAAGTGCTTTCAGGAGATGAGAGACAACAAGATGCTTCACTTGACAGAGTCGAGGTGAAAGAAGACTTCTGCTGATCCTGCTTTCCAGAAACATCAGGGGTGGGGAGGAGAGCGGGGAGAAAAAAGAAAAAAAAAAATGTTATTTCAAATTTTTCCTGTTCCTAGGTTCTACATGTTATAGATATGCAGCTGAAATGCTGAAACCTAAAATTGATGTCATCTGATCAATGATCGACCCAAACAAGCCTGAGGTATGGCAGCCAATCTCCTGCAGAGCAGTAACTTCAGAAATGAAGCCACAAGGAAGCCAGAGGTAAAACAGATAAAAAAATCTGTCAAAACCTAGAAATAAAAGACCAAGGAAAAATATTGTGTTGAACATAGCCTTCCATGCTAGGTCTCACACTCATGTTCACTCTTTATTTGTCTTCACTTTATTGGTCTAATCAAGAGTGCAGCAGATAAACTCTGAATTAGCCATTGAACACAAAGTTGTCTTGAACCATTCAGTAAGTCCACCAATGCCATAACAACAGATAGACAGAAATGGGCCCAAGTAATGACCTTCTCAGCACACAAAGCAATTTTACCTGGTCCATTCAGGGGACTAATTCATTCACCAAGGTAAGAAGGCAGAGGGTAATATGATGGCAAGTTAATGACGGAAAGAAAAAACAGACAGTCATGGGGCAGAGAACAGGAAGAGAAATGGTACAAGATTTGTGCTGCTCAGATTTACCTGCTAAGATTCATCCTTCAGCACATGAATCTGGAAAGGGACCCAAACTTCACTAGAAACACATCAGAATTCATTAAGACATCCTAAGGCTCTCCATACTGTACTTGTCACCCTGCCTTAACAAGAGTGCATACAAACAGAGGTCTCTGAGACATCTAAGAGTCATCATTAGGAGCTAGGTGTTGAATGGGAGAGGGTATCACAGATGTACAATTCCATGTAAAGAAATGTTAAGAGGAGAAAGAAAGTTTTGAAAAGTATTTAGCTTCCCAGAGAAGTAAATAGATGCTCGGGTCTTTCTCTACTGTAGGTATTTACATTGAGTTGTTATTTTATCTGATCACAAAAAGCAACTCACACAACAAGAACTAGCACTAGTGTGCTGCTTAGCCACCAAACACCACTGAAAAGATGAGCCAAGAGAATCAAATACACAAGTAACACATATGCAAACACACAAATATGCATTAAAATACCTAGAAGAGGATTAAAGAGGATTAATTGACAATAATAAATAAATTAATGGAAGACAAGGGGAGACAAAGCCTTATAGTGAAGCTCTTAGCAGAAACGATCAGAAATCATGATGAGATCATCATTATACGAAAGCCAGATTTCTTGTGTCTGCTACTGCAGAAACGTACTCCTTCTGCAAATCATCTGCTGTTGGCCAATGCCAGAATCAGAGTACCAGACTTGATGGACCACAATTCTGGCACGTTTATGTTCTCAATACGTATGTAGAATAGATCTGTGTAAGGATTAAAACAGATGATAACTAAATTGGAAGTACTGAAAATTACTGAGAAGATGTTGCTAGGGAAACCCGGACAAGCTGCAAATACAATAAAGGAACTAGCCTGGAATACTTATTTATAACCTGGTAAACCAGAAATAAGATATATTCGTATAAACCAAACCAAGAGCAAAATTTTTATTTATTATGATATATAAACTTCTGCAATTCCATGTTGCTGTAGTGTAAACTACTCCCTTTTTACATTAAAAAAAACAAAGTAGATTTGCCTTCCTGTGCTTCTAATCTAGCTGTATTGTGTAGCTACTAATCAATTCAGAAGATGAGGAGGACCAATATAGGATTGTGGGTCACCATTTGTTTGTAGCACTTTCTTCACTTTTGTAAACTTTCAAAGCCATTCCTCCAAGACTGTCCCAAACACTGTGATACCAGGCTTTATTTATATTTCTATTATGAAAAATACAACATTGTGTTTCAGGTGCATTTTTCTTTTTAAAAGGGAAACCTTCACAAATGCATCCTAAAGCAAAGGACAAGGAGGTGCTTGCATGAACTACATGCCTCAGTGATAAAAACACCCTTGGGAACACTGGCGACCTGAAGCTTTTCATCTAAGAGCTCCTATTGCAAAGACAAATTGTTGAAGCATTTGTACAGCCGAGCAGAACCATCAAACAATAAGAGCTCTTGCTCACATGGTCTGATTTCAAGTGTTCAAAGACAAGAAAGGAAGATGTTAGATCTCACCTCTATTTTTCTGGCATTTGTCCATGCAAAAGAAAGTGCTATTGAAATGAAAGCTGTGCCACACTGAGTGGAATATATTTTTGTTTTCATTTTCGTTGTGTGTTAAATAAAAAAATGTGGGTGAGAATGAAAATGACTGACAGAATGTGTTTCTCTTTCTCTACATATGTGTTGTGTTGGTTTTTTTTTTTCTTTGGCATGACAAATGGTTACCTAACTTACTCAAGTGGTTCCTTTGGAAGTTTTGCACTCATCCATATAATAATAAATCTCCATTTGGGGACATTTTAAAAAGCAGATACTTGAGCCAGCAGATCATCAGGATTCCACTGGAGATCAATGAGTCTCTAGGCATTTTTAAAGAAAAATTATCACCATGAAACACCTCAACTGCTCTTTTGGGACTGCTACAATCTATTGTCTCAATATAGCTGCTGGCTTTTGAACTGTAAATCCATTCACATGTGGAGAAATTAATGCAGATGGTCAGTTTAACTTTTGTCCTACACATGTTAAAATTTACTTGTTCCTCACTTGCTTTTTTCTTCCACGTACCCAAAAGCATGCATAAACATAGAAAGCTTACGTTCACTATTTTTGTCTTTTTCAAGTTTCAAATGGTTTGGGTCAGCAGAGAACAGAACAGCAAATGAAAACTTTATGTTAGAAGTACAGCAAAGTGTTTGCTACTCTGACACATAACAGAGCTTGTTCCTGGGTGGTTATTAGTTTCCAGATTAAGAGTTTTCACTCTTGAGTTGATCTCAAGAAGTTTGGAGGCCTTTCTGCTTAAGACGGCATTAGTTTGATTTTCCAAAACGTTCGTATCTCCTAATTCCTGCTTTGCAAAATCCCTCTGGCACTCGGGAGGAAGAAGTGCAACTTTAAAAAAGAAAGATAAAAATAATAAAAAGAAATGAACCCCAGTCAATGCCTGTGGCATTCTTGATGCTGAGCTGGGTTTCCAGCATGAGCATCTCTTCCAGTAGCAATCTGAAAACATTCAAGCAGGCCTTCCAAAAGTGGTTTACCCACAGAATATCAACCCAAATCCATCACATGTTTGGGACCTCACAGCTTGGTTCAAAAACTCTGCAGCAAATAAACAGGCAGCAAGCAGTGTTTAACCAGCCTTCCCTGAGACAACCAAGAGCTCCGCTCCCAGTACTGAATTTACAGTATAAGCTGTGCTTTCCCAATCCTTCCAGTGCTCTCCTTGCTCCAGT